TAATTAGAGACCTGTCTCAAGTTCTTGGTATTGTGTGACATGGCCGGCTAGATCACTAGGTCTCGAGGACTCAGACCCCATTGCGACAATACAGCTAGATATCCCGGAGACACCCCAGAGAGCATAAGTACAAGATGCATCCAGCACCTGGGTACAAGCGGTGCGGGCAGTCAGCCACCTACCGACATAGGTCGTGTCTTACTGACTAGGCTAGTGGTTGTGTCTGTGTCGTATTTGTTTGTTTTTTGTCTCGTCTCCACGATACGTCGAAATTGTCTCAAAATAATGACTCGTACAAATCAATTTCCTCGTTGCTTGTGCCACTAATGCTGCGGACCAGAAACAAGCATCTGGTTGTTATATGTTGGTTATAGTATTACAAATGCATATGCATACGCCAACGTCTAACTTATTCAGTGCCTTGCAGACCCTATAATAACATTCTTGGGAAATAATCGTCCATGTTCGTCTTAGCTACACGGGCTAGCTAATAATGTATCACAACCTTTCACGCTTCTATTATGTTCCTCTAGCCATATATATACTGCAGTATTATAACCCTAGCTGAACCAGAGCAGCAGCTAGTATGTGCATACTAGCTACTCCAGCAGATGTTAAGACTCCCTTTGGTATTGCTATAACCACATAAGACCACTGAGGAATGGAGGACGATGGAGGAAAAGGTGTAACGATTGTACAATAGTGACGCATAGATAGGCGCTGACTCAGTGTGGGCATAGTCTAATGACGTCATTTAGATATTCCTTGGGGAATTCATAACATCGTTTATAGTGAGCAGCGTCGTCTATATCGCCATGTCGCGTCATTTTGTTATGAGCATTATCGGACTGATACCTTCCAGCGGGTCCAACTCACAGCTGATAGTATCTGCCCAAGGCTGCAAGATATCTAAGGCCAATGTGCCGTGCTAGATTTTCTTTGTTGTATGAGAAAGTGGCAGTACTTGAGACTTGTCATGTCGTGTACACCATTCTTCTGGATGAGAAAGAGTCAGAAAGGGAGGACAAAAGGCAACTACTGTTGAAGATGAAAAGGAGAGAGTGAAGAATCCGGAAGTGTTAGTCCAAGTACACCCTAGCTCTCACTTCTCAACAGCCCATGATAACTTCACAACATGCGCGAGGAAAGAAGAGAAAAAGAGCAGATGATATTGGAACCTCTACACTCGAGACCAGTGTGAGATGAAACAACAGAGAAGTCTAAGGCCCAGGACCTACAATAGTAGTGTATCATCTGACAGAGGGTATTCCTCAGCTCATTCTCTACCCAGTGTCAGCACCTACCTAGCACCAGCACTCTCGATGTCTTCGTCCACGACACTGACCGGTACCAGCACGTAATAGTCTTCAACCTACCCCACACCCCAGGGCAGTGCCACAACGAGCCTAGCCCTACCAACAGTGGGGGGAGACATGCCAGGGTTCTCTGAGAGTGTCAGCAACCCAGCAGCGGGGCGGTGAATCTTCAGATGCAGATCTGGAAAGTATAATGAGAGCTGGATAGATTGGCAGAGTGTGTCGTGAGACTTGAAGCCAGTATAAGCAGGTGTGGTGGGGAGAAAGCAGAGGAACTGGGGGCGGTACTAACGGTAGAATCAATGCCCGGACCTGACTGAGCCTGAGGTATGTGTGTATAGGTATAGCTATGTGTGTATAAGGTAGAGCTATGTGTGCAATGTGTGCCACACATGGTTGTGTGTCTAGAGATATCAGGCAGGGAAGGTTTTAGCAAACACATAATATATTCCCTTTGGGCGCAATTTACATATATATATATGCACAGAGCCTCCATAAGTGCATAAGAAATTATATAATGGCTATAATACTGGGCGCAAATATGTTATACATCAATTTATGCTTATTTAAGGAGACACCTATGGCGCCCAAAGGGTTAAGTGACAGATCTCTGTTCAGGAGGACAGAGGGGCTTGCAGCTATATGGTAGTGTTTCTAATCTGTTTCATCTGCCTGGCTAGGTAGAGAACTTGCCTAGAAACTATAGTGTCGTAGGTTTGCCTCCCACCCTTGGCGGCGCTGGAGGTACATTTTACATGCGCTTTCCTTCCTGGTTCATTCTTCAGTTCATTCTAGGTGTAATAGTATTGTTCTATGCACAGTTGCCTAACAGTCCGTGTGACAACAGAGTCCTACTGTGGCTGGTGAGAAAGGTGGGCGATTGGAAGTTCCTGGCACGATGGCTGGGGCTACAGGAGAGCGACATAACTCAAGTAGAGATGGACAACCCGAGATCTGGTCGAGAGCAGTGCTACCAAATGCTCTTGAAGTGGAAGTCAGTGGCTCCCGAGAGCTATTCGTATCCAGTATTGGGAGAGGCTCTGAGACAAGAGAGTCTGGAGCTGTTCAATGCATACGTAAAGGAAGTACATCGAGTAGAGGGCTGAGATACGATTCCTCTCTGTGATATTAAAGCATTCTCTCGGGCAATATTATAAATATTCATTATCATTGAGCAAATATATTGTCACCAAAATGTTGTTTATGTTCATGCACTCCTAGCATCATTGAGTCGATGCTGCCATTTTTAATGATTGTTTTTATGTAGAGTCACTTTGACTAGCAATGCTATGTTTGTTAAAAACTGTTTTAACAGACGCCATTGTTAAGCTGGTTATACGTCACCGATTAGCTAGTCACCTGTACAGAACAATGCAGATATTACACAAACACGAGCCCAATTGACCAATTAAAAAAGAATTTTCAATGTTGCGTCACTGATAGCTATTAGTATAGCAGCATAATAATAATAAATATGAACACTGCAATGATGTTAGAGAAAAAGTGGTGTCATAATGACATCAATGCCCAAGAGATTCGCTTGAAATAATCCCTGGAATGGTTACATTTCCGGTTTTGTATAAACCACAACTCGGATATATACATATGTGCATCTATACCCATCTTGCTCTGGCCTTCTCTGTGTGCTTTCTCCACTACTGCATATATAGCTACCAAGTGGTCAACAGCAAAGCAAACGAGGCATATAGCAAATAGTCAGTGTATAATTGTGTAGTATAAGACAGGTGTGTGTTAGCTACTTCTGTAGAGCTGGATGTACAGATGTGGGTAGTCTAGCAACTCTATAAGCCCCAGGGCTAATGTCCACAAACACTGACTGGTAGCTACTAGCAGCAATGGTTCTTCAACCTATCACACACCCAGCCAGGGCAATGAGCCCAGAGTTGGAGAGACATGTCACAGTTCTCTGAGAGTGTGCAGCGTCACATGATTGGTGGTAATAATAACAAGCCGCACCCATCCTTTGGAGCTCATAGTTGGAAAATGGCTGAAGGTAGGATTTATACTCGGGTTTATAGGCTGAGAGGTGTAGCTAAGGATAATATAGCTATTACGTTCGTTCTTCCCTGCAATAGAAGCGGCGCTGGCACCTGACGATGCGGGAAAGATACTGGAGAAACTGCTGGATGCGCAGAATAAGTCGTTTATGCTTGGTCTGGGACTGAATTTGCGACTTCGCGATATAGAAGCCATCCACGCAAGGTATACTGACCCACGCGAACGTCTGCTCCACATCATTATCGCGTTCTTGAGAGAAGAGGAGCCAAGACCGACATGGAGTGTCATTCTGGAAGCCCTCAGGAATCCCATAGTCAGCCTAACAGCAGTAGCCAGAAGAGTGGAAACAGCTCTTTTCGCTACGGCTGCACAACCGACAACCTCCGGTGAGCCCCTTTGGTTCACAGGTCTGATTGTGTAGCTAACTCATTACACTACAGCTCCAGTCCTGTATCCTAGCACCCTGTCGTCTCAGCAGGGAATTGGTAAGCTAATCAATTATCCACCGCAATCCCATTCTTACTACAACTATACAGGTGTATCCAATCAAGACATAAAACATAGTAAGAGATGTGGCTATATAATTATAATATACATTTTCTTGACCCACTCATTGTTGACTCCCCAAAGCCCCAGCTCTCCTGATGGCAGTCTCACCTGATTCACCTGTTGAATCACCTCGATCATCCCTACACACACAACAAGGCACATCACACAATAGTGAGCTTAAATTATACAAAGAGTATTGCGTATTGCTGAACATTTTAGTGTTGCCTGATGTAATGTAATACATTTTAACAGCTAGCACTCGGTACACTACAGTCAGTTCACGTGAGGCATTAACTCGGGGAAAATAATGAGTGAACTAACTCCATGTTTTCCTCTATTCAGCCACTCATTCTGCCCTGGGTTCCTCTCTAACCACCTTCCACCAGGAACTAACGTCCAGTGGTAAGCTCACTAGCTGTCTAATTGTTAAAGAAATCTGTTATGTACTTTCCATTTGCACACAGCACCAACTCCAGTCCCTATTCCAACTCAGGCCCACCCACACCAACTGGCATCCACTGGTAATTGCACTGATTGTTAGTGGTCATGTTCATATGGTGTATGTTCGTTTGTTAACGGTTCCGCCCATTGCTCTGGGTGCGTGGTCTATGGCCCTAGTGCTATGGCAGCCACCTGAGTATTGTTATTGTTTAGTGGTTAGAGAAATATAATAATTATGATACTGTAGGCGATAGTGGATCGGTGTCTACTATTACAACATCAAGTGATGAAGTGAAGCAAATGATATCAGAGCTGGATAGCAAGTTTGACACTCTCAAGAACTCCATCCGAGAATGTCTCGAGAAACGTGGAGTTCAGGTGAAAAGAGTTGCAGATATACTGACATCGCTCTCGGCTGATGAAGACGAGCATCACAAGATGTTCCTGGAAAGCCATGTCAGCGTTCTCTTCAAGGCTGCCAATGTCGCAGAGCTGTTTGGAACCATGAACTTCCATTGGAATTATCTCAGTCCCCCTCCCTTAGATCACCTGGTGCACAAGTTCAATCTAGTGGAGGTCAAAAGTCAACTGGAGGCCTACAATTCTGATCTGCTGCAGTTTAGAATGAAGACACTGTTAACTCTGTTCTGTCAGACGCAGAGGAAAAAGCGAATCAGACTCTCCCCAGATTTCCATGAGGTTGTCGCCGAGTTTGAGTGGACAGAGAATGTGACACTGGAAGATGTGGAGCAGTTTCGACAAGAGTATGCCTCTCACTACAACCTGAGAGAGTGTGCCATGATGATTGCCGAAGTTCGTCCTGGCTCCTTCATCGTCACTTGGTATGTGCCCAAATCGGTTGTGGAGAAATTGAAGACCAAAGTACCCAGACCGATTCTCAAGCAACATGGTGTCCAGAAGCTGCAGATTGCTGGGGTCTGTGTCTATCGTATCGTTAGTCCAAGCTCACCTCCAGCTCTCACTTCTCAACAGTCGATGATAACTTTAACAACCGACGACGAGGAAGAAGAAGAAAAAGAGCCAGATGATATTGGAACCTCTACACTCGAGACCAGTGTGAGATCGAACAACAAGAGAAGTCTAAGGCCCAGGACCTACAATAGTAGTGTATCATCTGATAGAGGGTATTCCTCAGCTCATTCTCTACACAGGGCCTGCAGAACCCTACATAGCACCAGGACTCTCGGTGTCTTTTGTCCACGAACACTGACCGATACCAGCAGTAATAGTTCTTCAACCTACCCCTATAAGTCTTCATTCAAGAGCCAAAGAACATCATTCACCACCGTGACCAAGTTCTATCGAGTTACTCCTAAGAAATACCTGAAAAACTCCCGTGCAACATCTGCACTGACCGTTGTGAGTTGCAACACACTCCACACACCCAAACATACTAACTCATACACACACAAACAACTCATTTTGTACACTGTATACTGACGGTTCCCTTAAAGCTAGCACTATAGCGTGTTTAAGACACTATAATTGACAGTTCTGCAAAGAAAGCTTAGATTTAGAGTAATTGACCACTCATTATACTGTAATATGAGGGCAGCATTAAGTATGAGAACTCTCTGTTACTCTGTTAAGCTCATTGAAAGTACAACCCTCCCACATTCTCTGACATGTATATAGTTGCTGCACCCAAAGCCTTGTTTCTTGATCAATATGTCAACAGGATGTTTGCTGGGAATGTGACATTTTAAGTGCTCTCCCCTATCCTCAGACTATGATTTTCATTACGTGCTTATAGGGAAAGTTTAGGTATGTTATGTCTTTAAACTTGCTGTTTTTGAGCAACCTTTTATGTTTCTACGTGCAGTTAAGTGCTTATTGCTACATCCAAATACAGTGAGACGAAAGACTTCATGGCACTATAGTCTGATTTAGATAAATTGGTAGTTTCTGCTGTTTGGTGTTTTCAGAGAGAGGTCATGAGCGATGATGAAGAAAGTATGACTGGCAGTCTTCGAAGGTTGCAGATTTCAATTCCTCTCCTCAGGAACCAACAGCAGGAAAAAGGGTCAGCCGCACATGAGCAGTTTCTCTGATTTAGATATCCTCCCAAATAGTCCTAAGAAGTGTGCATGTAGTTGACTTGTTTGGCCTGCCTTTATACCGCGCTACCTAGTCATTGACACAGTATAGCTGCTTATTCAATTGTAGGGGCAATGATGAAGAAAGTATGACTGGCAGTCTTCGAAGGTTGCAGATTTCACTTCCTCACCCCTGGGACCAACAGCAGCCGGGAAAAAGGGTCAGCCATCATCATGCACATGAGCAGTTTTTCTGATTTAGATATCCTCCCAAATAATCCTAAGAAGTGTGCATGTAGTTACCCTCGGCGCGCATGCGCAGCGAGGGTACTGTAGTATAATTGGGGGTTTGTCTGTCTGTCTGTCTGTCTGTGTGTCTGTCACTCTAAATCTCACTTCTCGGGTGTCTGTTCGTCCCAGAAACGATACCATCTACCCAACGGGCGAAGAGGGTCAGAATATAATATGTGGGGTTTTCTCTGAAAATGATCCGTTGCAGAGCTAGAGCGCTTCCAGCATTGTATGGCTAATGCCAGTAGTCGCCATTTTATCGCTGGCGGATAATGCGCATGCGCTTATATTTAGCACAGGCACCTCGACCGGGTCCGCTTGCTCTGTCTATCTTGAAGGCACAGGAAGTCACAACGAATGGCGTGTATCGACTCTCGCGTGCTATCTACTACTGTAGCTAGCCTGCGTCAGACTCGCTGCGAGCTACGTCGCCGAGGGTTTGCACTTTAGTGCTTTTCATTTACACTGTTCCCATTCAAGTAATGGTGGAAGGTCTGATGGATAAGCACCCCATCTCTTGATCGTGAGGTCCCTGGTTCGATCCCGGGGGTGTGCGCCTTTTTTACAGTGATGTAATAGGAGTGTTGGCTGTTGTATAATGGAACGTTTTTTCATCACCTCTCAAGGCCAGCCCGAGTGGCTAGGTGGTTAGAGTCGTGGGGACTGACACCATAGGTGCCGGGTTCGAATCCTCGATCCCGCACTAAAGTGTCAGGTGGTCCAGAGCATTGGCTGGGAACAGCTCTGGTTCTTCCCCTTACCCACAAATCTACCACTGACCCACGTTTCTGAAAGGGCAGCGTATAGTTCGGCATAGCACCTTTTCCCCCACAAAGAGTAGGTCATTATGACATATGGGGTTTGCCTTGCATTGTACATAGATTTGAGCCCTGCCTGCAGAGCTGCCCTATACAGTGGCTCAGTGGGTAGAGAGCACACACTATGCATTCAAACAAGCGGCTCTTTTTTAGGTTATAGTGGGTGCTGTTGATTTGTTTCCCTTGACTTTCACCAGAAACCAAAACCATAATTTATCATGCCAAATTTCTTTTGTTTCAGAATGTAAGGGAGCCAGATGAATTACCGTGTGAGAAAGTGGACAGAGCAGTAATTAGAGACCTGTCTCAAGTTCTGGTATTGTGGACATGGCCGGCTAGATCACTAGGTCTCGAGGACTCAGACATTGCGACAATACAGCTAGATAATCCCGGAGACACCAGAGAGCAAAGTTACAAGATGCTCCACACCTGGGTACAGCGGTGTCGAGCAGTCAGCCACCTACCAGACATTAGGTCGTGTCTTACTGACTGAGGCTAGTGGTGTCTACCCAGATACGTAGAAATTGTCTCAAAATACTGCTCGTAAAAATCAATTTCCCTCGTTGCTTGTGGCCACTTTGCTTGGAAACAGGCATCTGTTTGTTATATGTTGGTATATTAAACAAAATGCATACTACATTATTCAGTCCTTGCAGACACAATAATAACATTTCTTGGAAATAATCGTCCATTCGTCTTTAGCTACACTAGCTAGCTACAAAAGTTATACCATCTTTCACGCTCTATTATTTTCCCATAGCCATATTATACTGCAGTATTATTAACCCTAGCTGAACCCAGAGGCAGCAGGTATGTGCATACTAAGCTACTACAGCAAGATTTTAAGACTCCCTGTATTTGCTATAACCACATAAGACCACTGAGGAATGGAGGAAAAGGTGTAACTATTACAATAGTGACGCCATATATAGGCGCTGCTCAGTTGTGGGCATAGCTAATGACGTCATTTAGATATTCCTTGGGGAATTCATAACATCGTTTATAGTACAGCGTCGTCTATCGCCTGTCGTCATTTTTGTTTATGAGCATTATCGGACTGATAACTTCCAGCTGGTCCAACTCACAGCTGATAGTCTTTTTCTGCCCAAGGCCTGCAAGATATCCAAGGCCAATGTTGCTTGCTAGATTTTCTTTGTTGTATGAGAAGTGGCAGTACTTGAGACTTGTCAGTCGTGTACACCATTCTTCTGGATGAGAAAGAATTCAGAAAGGGAGGACAAAGGCAACTACTGTTGAAGATGAAAAGGAGAGAGTGAAGAATCCGGAAGTGTTAGTCCAAGTTACACCTCTAGCTCTCACTTCTCACCACCCATGATACTTTCACAACATGCGACGAGAGAAAGAAGAAAAAGAGCCGATGATATTGGAACCTCTACACTCGAGACCAGTGTGAGATCGAAACAACAAGAGAAGTCTAAGGCCCAGGACCTACAATAGTAGTGTATCATCTGACAGAGGGTATTCCTCAGCTCATTCTCTACCCATGTCAGCACCTACCTAGCACCAGCACTCTCGATGTCTTTCGTCCACGAACACTGAACCGGTACCAGCAGTAATAGTCTTCAACCTACCCACACACCCCAGGGCAGTGTCCACAACGAGCCTAGCCCTACCAACAGTGGGGGAGACATGCCAGGGTTCTTGAGAGTGTCAGCAACCCAGCACGGGGGTGAATCTTCAGATGCAGATCTGGAAAGTATAATGAGAGCTGGATAGATTGGCAGAGTGTGTCGTGAGACTTGAGCCAGTATAAGCAGGTTGGTGGGGAGAAGCAGAGAACTGGGGGTACTAACGGTAAATCAATGCCCGGACCTGACTGAGCCTGAGGTATGTGTGTAAAGGTATAGCTATGTGTGTATAAGGTAGAGCTATGTGTGCAATGTGTGCCACACATGGTTGTGTGTATAGAATATCAGGCAGGGAAGGTTTTAGCAAACA